CAAAAAATAAGAAATAATTTAAATTGATATATTTATTTTATATTATAAAATATTTTTAAATTATTATTATTTTTTTTTCCTTTGACAGTCATGTCATAAACTTTATTAAGTTGTTAACTAGAGCCATAGCCAAGTTATATTTGATTAAAAAAATCTACCTAATTTCTAAATTTGACCTCACCCAGCTGCTTCTAGAGTGTCCAGATACGATCTGTCACTAGAGTGGATGGGGAAATGTATTATGCATATATGTATATATGTGACATATTTTTCATGAATCATATATGAATATATATACACATATATGTATTAAATTTATTGTAGAACGAATGCCTTTACAAGCCATAAATTTTTAAATTTTATATGTATGTTTTGTGTAGTATCAGTATAGACTTTTGAAACTTTTTTTCTTCCAAAATGTCTAGTATATTATTAGAGAAGTTAGCAATATTTAGAATAAATTAAAATTTGAATGTAAGTAACTTATGAATAATTTATTTGATTATGATTTATGTCAAGATTATGTCATGTTAGAATTATTTAAACATTAAAAGTATACATATCAATATTACATATTAATGCAATTATTAATATTTTTATTTCTTCTTGTCCATGTTTAGACAATTTATTATTCGACTTTATTAAAATATATAAAATTTAAAATGCTAATTGAATTTTTTGAAAGAGTTTGTCTTTTATCTGTGAGAATATTTTTATATACAGAGAAGCTTCGCTCAATATCAACTCCCAAAACAGAAAGCAAAATATAAACTAAAGCTATTTGTGACAAATTAGGAAGATGAGCAGCCTTTTCTTTCTAATAAGAATTTAAATCAAAATCATTATCATAATTAAAATCTTCATTTATTTTACAATAAATTTCCTACTCATGTATAATAGCACTATTTGAATTTTCAAACTTGGGAATATATTTATATAAATTAATATTCTGTTGACTTTGTTATGAATGAAAATAATAGGGATCAAAACATTGAATTGCCTTAAATAAAGGTAAAGTCTGATGTTGATTGATATGTTTTTTAAGCTTATTTATTGCTAACTAATATGCCTCCTGAAATTTAACTATATATCGTAAAGAATCTATATATAGTGTATTAAATATAGTTAGTATTTTATTATTTAAAAGTGGATTAATACTACCAGATTGAAGTTGTGCTTCAAGTTGTGTTAATTGATTTAACACAGAAGGTGCCATAGATTTGTTGCAAATTTTAAAAAATTCTAATATATTAAAAAGGCTACATACAATATGTACAAATAAAATTAAAATAAATATATTAACGTTAATAATAATATGTAACAGTAATCTTTTTTTTAATTAAAAAAACTTTTTATTATATATTACCTTTGTGCATTAAACGTAATAAATGTAGATAAAATTTTAAATTCAAATACAAGTACAGAATCTTTAAAAATAGATATTAATTTTTGAACTGCCTGGCTTTCATTGCCATTACTAATAAGCTCCTTATTCAAATAAAAATTCTTTAGTTGAGAAATATATTTGTTGATCCAAAAAACAAAATTAAACCAAGAATTCTATCTTGTTTTAACAGAAAATGGAGGTAAGGTTGACGGTATTTCAAGATTTTATGAATTTAAAAAGGAAATCCACCTTCATTTACATGCATTATTATGTGTAAATGAGGCTTTAATTTGCATTACTATGTCATCTAATAATTTAAAATTTTTGTGACCCACCTATGTTTTACCTACTAAATTTAATATATGCGCCAAACAATGATTATATTTTATTTGGGTTATTAAGGGAGATAAAACACTAAATACTTTTACTATATAAGAAGCATTGTCAGAACTAAAAAAAATAATATTTTCAAATAGAATATTATAAAATTGAAGCATTTTCATTACTAATTGTGTAATAGTAATATTATTAACAATATCTAAATGCTCAGTTTTAACTAGTTTAGTCGTATTATAAAAACTAAATAATATATTTATAGCAGCTTTTCTACAAACATTAGGTGATTCAATGATAGTAATAGAAATTCATTTTTCAACTAAAAGTAGTTTTAAATTATTAATTTTTGAATTAAATGCAATAAGCAAATATCTGCTATGCAATTAAGTTAATTCAACGATAGAACTACCTGTTATATGTACAAATAATAATTAATTAATATTTAATTACTAAATTAGAATCTTTACTAACAAAATTAACTTATCATTTTTACAGTACTTCAAGAAGAATGGCTTAAGCTTATCAACTTTCTCAAGTGGAATATTAGCTTGAGTTAAAGCATAAATTAAATCTAGATTAATTGCATCATGTTCTTCTCAACAAATATTAATTTTAGGAGCTAGTTCATTAGTTTCTTGTAGATTTTCATTGGCTTTATGTTCATTTGTTTTATGTTTATCAGTTTTTAGATGTTGATCAAGTATAAACTTGTTTTTATAATTGACGATATATTTACAGAAGGTACAAAATAAACTTTCACCATCAACATAAAAGTTTTTTTTGTACTCCTCATTTTCATTAATACGGTCATTGAGTGTAATCATTTTTAAAAAGTAAAAATTGAAAAAAAACAAATTCGCAATTTTTTTATTTTTTAAACTTTATTAAATATTAAATAGCAATTTTTATAACATATTGTTATACAAAGAGTAAACTTAAATTTCTATTTTACATTGTTGATTTTTTCTAAGAGCGAAACCAATTCCAAAAAACTTTAATCTTTTAAAAATTATATTGCGAGCGAAACTAATTTCAGATTCTAATGCTAAAGGCAAAACTAATTTCAGAATCTATTACTAAAAGGTGAAACTAATTTCAGATTCTAATACTAAAAGGTGAAACTAAATTTAGATAATAATGCTAATAGTAAAACTAAATATTAATACCTTCTTTTGGCAAAGAATTTGAATGTACTGCAAGTACATATGTTTATATATGATTCACGAAAAACATATCATATATGCATATATATGCATATCATATTTCCTCGTCTACTCTACCTGTCACACTAGTCAGATGACTAGAACAATTGGTCTAACTAATTTAAAGAAAGCTCCACTAACTTGAACTACTCTCCTTAATTTTCTTTTTAAATACGTCTTCTATTAAAGCTATTATCTATTTCTTTTTTCTTCCTCTTTCTTTTCTCTTTTCTGCTAATAACCTTTTCCTTTCTTCATTCACTAAGGTTCTCATTTTTGGCTTTATTTTCTTCGTTTTGTTCTTTTTTGACTTAGCTATAATCTCTTCTTTTTTTTTCCAAAGAATTACTTTCTCACATTGCCAATTCCATATAATTTTTAAAAAGCTTCTTTGAGTTATAAAGAAGATACTATCAAGTCAGGTTCTTGCAATGCTTTTTTCCTGTACTAGCAACTTTAGATCTTCAGCTATTTTTTTTGCTTCCAAGCCAAATATGAACTCTTTTCTTCTTTGGTATTGACTTTCTTTGTTTTTTGGAAAGACAATTTCCTTGATTTTTGGTATCACAGCTAGGCTATTATTTTCCTCTACTAAGAGCTTGTTAATATCTTCTATTACTACTTCCTCTATTTGTTTCTAAGAGTCTTGTAAAGCTAAGCATCTGAGCAGATGGTCAAAGTCTTCAGAAATTTCTTTTTTACAGAGGATACAAAAGTCACTTTTATATAGATCTAGTTTTCGTTTCTTGAGTTCACTAAGTGTTGGAAGGCAATTTATTAAGTATTTGATCTGTAAAATGAGATGTCTACTGTCTTTTATTAAAAGGCAAATTTATTCCTCTTTATTTTAATTCTTTGCCAAAAGAAGGTATTAATATTT